GTTTAATATTTTCTTTTCAGTTTAAAAGTTCAGCTCCTGTTTTGTGTGAGAATAAACTAGTGCCATCAAAAACTGAATTTGAATTGTTCAAACTGAATCTGTATTTGCTTAATTGCATTTGCATAGTTTTTTTAATGAATTTCACTAACGGTTCCTGAATGCAGCAGCTGGGAATATTTAGTCTGTCATGATTCCACACCCCGTGACATTTCAGGCTCCGCCCCCACACCAAAACAAGGCCAGAAGTTTGAATCTGAAAAGAAAATCTGAAACTAAAAAAAACCCCTAGATTTTGAGCTTTTATCCCCCCAGGTTCAATTCTTTTATTATCAGCTTTAGAATTAATTTTCAATTTAAAAACAGTTTTATTTTTTGAACAAACTGGCACCAATTTAGCTCTGTAGTTTTTAGCAACTTGAAAGAGTGGGTTCGTTATCCCCAAAAAGTTTTGTCCTGAAGTTTTAGTTTTTGTACATTTATCATGACAACTAATTTATTGTTTAAAAACTGTATATGTACACATGTGTTGTTTTGCAGTTTTCGGTGTACATAATTTCTGTATTCAGTGAATGTGGTTCAATTCTTTTATGTAAAAMTCTCAAATAAAAAGTTAAAAAACAAAAATAATGATGACTTAGGACAACAACAAGAACTTTTGAAATTTAATATTAATATAATAATCGTATTAATATGAAACAATTCCAGGTGAACTCTGGGTTCAGATGTTCCCAATATCCCTTTGACCAAACCTCTAAACCCTGGAGCAGACTAATCAGAGTATTATTGCTCCGAGCCAACAACAGGCAATACAACCGGCTCAGGAAGGAACAGGTCCGAGCTCCAGACTCCCCAGGTCCCAATCCGATCAACATTCTACAGGAGCCATTGGCGTAAGCCTGGTAAAAACAGGCCCGATCTCTCAACCCATAGGAACACGAGCATCTGCTGCCAACATCCAGATGCTAAACATTACAGGAAAACCCTGGAGGTATTGTGTCCACATTGGACCGGGGTGTTTTTGTGGCACCAAAAGGATAAACATGGTATTAAACAGGTGGCTTTGTTGTTATGGGAAATATTCAGTGTGTTAGATACCAAGCAAAGGTGTGTAGTACCGTATATAAACATAGTTTACATAATTTTGTTGTTATGTTCTGACCCATAAGTTTCTGGTAATTTTAACAAAAAAAAAGTTCATTTGAAGATTTAAAGGTCAGAGCACTTGTTCAGAAAAGCARCTTCAACCAAAGAAAATCCCAGTGGTAAGATCAGGGAGAAATCAAATAAACCAGAAAGGAAAAGCTCAAACGAAACAAAAATGGATGGCAAAAAATGTTTTGTAAATCTCTATTAGAAAGAATTGAGTTTTGAGGGGGGAAAGAAAAACTAAATGTGGCAGTCTTATTTTCTCTTTTTTCCAAATTAAACTTCCTCCATTGCTGCAGATTCTTTTTGGTACCAGAGTGATGTGGAAGTTGAACATTTTACACTTAATGAAAAAAAAGTTACATACACCGAGGAATTTGGAGAGGAGCTTCAAGGTTTCGGTGGTGGTGYTGTAAACATTCCTCCAGTCGTAAGGCGGCATCCGAGCTGGACGGTCTTCAGGAGGTCCGTTGTACAGGAAGTTCCCCAGCAGCTCGGCCGTCCATCCSGTACCGCTGAGGCGCTGGTTGAGGGCTTCAGCAAAGATGGGATTTGCCAGCAAAGCCTAATGTTTAAGAAGGAAATGAATGTTTTTAAATCTATATTTGTCACTTATGGACACTTATGGATGGATGGATGGATGGATGGATGGATGGATGGATGGATGGATGGATGGATGGATGGATGGATTTGTCACTTATTAGAGGTTTAAAATGAGGAGTGTATGAATAATGATGAGGACCCAAGGGGTTTAAAAATACTGAGAATTATTCATGGGTTTGTTATTCGTTCAACTGAAACTCAGTTTTCTTTAAAAATAAAACAGTTAAAAAGCAAAATAAAGTTCAGTCTTAGTGGAAATGTAATATTATCTAGAATGCAATGACTGTAGATCCGAACTTTCCCTTTAAGACAAATGAATACAGCTTTGTAAAACATACCAACTTGTCTCTCATGTACAACATAAAGAAAAAAAATGCTAACACTTGTTTAAATTGGAGAATGAAAATGAAAGCAAACTGATTCCCTCACTTGTAGACACAGAAACAAACATATTTTCATATRCATAAAAAGAAGCACTTCTGAATGGTTTCCTCTAAACTAATGTCATCACTCTAATAAAAAAATAATACTGGAAAACGTGATTATGGTGCAAATATACCTGTTGGTTTTTGCTGAAAGAAATAAACGTCTCACAGTGCCTCAAAGAACAGGACCTGGCTAATGAGGTGATTTTATTGCCACTATTTAGTCGCCGCATTCCTTTACCTCCTTAACTCTCACTAAATAAGTGTGAATATTTAAAATCAACACCCAGTTATAAGTCACTAAAGGTGAAACAAAAACAAAAACTGTTAATTTATGTAGACAAGAAGGGAGTAAATGAAGCTAAAGTCGCAATACTGTGAGCTATTTCCCTTTGTTTCAGCTGCCTGTGTCTGTATGAGGGAGGTTGTTTATCTGTCTGTTAGTAAAATATTTCATCAACCACAAAAAGGGTATGATTGAAACTCTGAGAAAGCAATCATAAAATGTGCAGAGGTACTATGACTTCCAAGAGTTTTTAGAGATGCAAACCATCTCTTGAATTAATTTTTAGTTTGAGTCTCAGTTTTTTGTTTTTTCAAAACTTTGTTTTTCTAACCCCGGCCCAAAGAAAGTAAGAATGAAGGGTGTTCAGGTTGTCTGACCTCCATGGTAAAGGCTGCACATCATACAGTGTAATTTCTTAATAAAACCAGTTAATAGCAGTACTTTCCTTTGTATTGTGTTTTTATGCAATAGTTGTTATTTAAAAGAAAAAAATCTTGTTTTTTAAACCATGTAGCAAAAATTACAGTGATTTTGGGAGGTATAGAAAGGATTACTGGCATTTCAGTCATTTGTGAGGAAAATAGATTTGACATAAAAGTAATTTGACTTGACTCTAGTCACACGGTTTATGATACCAAATACGAATGAAGTGTATTTAAACTCTTGACATCAAAGAAAGTAATAAAAATCACATTTTTTCACCATATTAAAAAAAATCACCTTAAAAAAACCTCTATTATTCTGGCATTTAGCAAATAAAAAAATGTAATCCTACTTGACCTAAAACTGGAAACATTTATTCTGATTTCAGGTCACACAGTATGGAAAAAAATGCATGTGTCTTTTCATATAACTTCTGGTTTCAATAAATTTCATAGTTTAAAAAAATGGATTTTAGGTTTTAAATTGAGTTTTTAAAAATTTGGTGGATTGTGTTGCTAAAAGTGTATATGGCATGTGAAATTAATGCTAATGATGTGGCTTCATCCATTAGGTTATGCAGGTTCTAAATGCTACATAATATGGAAAAGGTTATTTGTATAATAAAAATTTGTTGTATAACATTTAAAACCAAAAATTGGTTTTCAATAAGTATTGACAGAATTTGGTCCTTGGCATGAACCAAGTTTTGGCCCTCTCATGTAATGGAGTTTAAGTTAGAAGATGGTGAGACTTAGCTTACACAAAAATGCCTATAACTCTTACAGATACTGAGCTAATGTGTGGTAGTAGCTGARAGTCWTCACCATCACATATGTGACCCATCACATCRAAACGAGGATTAAGTCTAAAAGTGGGATGTGGAGAAGTAGACAGATATAGGGTTTTGATTTAAACGTCATTTTGATCAAATTTGACTTAATCCTCATTTCGATATGATGGGTCACAYATTTTRCGCACTGACARACAACACATCATCTTTGTTTAAACTTTGACATATGAAGCTTTATGCCTTATGATTCCTTCATGAAATGCGTGTTTCATTTTAAAAATGTAGCTGCATTTCAAAGTTGATGAAGGGGAACCTTGACTTCTGGACAGGAAAGGGCACCGCGCATCAAAACTGAGCATTGAACCGCTGTCATGTGAAGTTCTGAGCTGACATTCAGATTTCTTCTTATTCCAAGTGTGCTCAGTGGCATTTCAGTGTCACTGCTCCTGATGACATTATGCTTAACCTTAGGACAAAGTGTCAAATTAAGTAATCTCGCTGCCGCCTGACCTTTTTCGGTGAAGAGAAATCTGTACATTTCTTTTTCGCCGCTGCCGTCTCAAGGACACAATCCGTCCAAAACGTGTGCATCTTTAGAAATCCATGTCATCTTCCAACAGCGGTGGCAAATTGAGCAGGACCATTAAAGCTGCTCTTCATGTGGCTACCGCTGTTTGTGTCAAAGTGTGTTGTTCACAGCCTAATGTTCCGTAGCATTCGAAGCAAACACTTGCAGATACACCWGTTAACCTTGCTGGTCATGTGTTAAATGAACTTATTTGTCATGAGACTGTCTTCGGCTGACAAAGTCAAACTTGTTTGTTCACGTTTTGGAAGAAAAGAGAACCTCGGGGTCTGAATGGTGGTTSGCGAAAACTCGGCTGGGTCTTCAGGCTTTTCGGCTAAGTTTAGGRTTATTTTTCAAAAGGTTGGTACAAAATAAAAGCCCATAATATAGGGGTTATCTGCAAAAAGCACTCAAGGGCCAGAATTTGTYTAGTTAGGCACTGAAGGTCTGGTGTTTGTTCAGTCAGATTTTTGTAAATCAGAAAAGAGTCTGTTTTATCTATTTGAATGTTGGTAATAATACATGATACAGTCTATTACACTGCCTGGCCAAAATAAAAGTGTTGCCACTGACAAAAAAGGTCACTAACATTTCGTTGGACTGCCTTTGAATTTGATTATGGCATGCGTTCGCTGTGGCATTTTTTAGATAAGCTAGACCTGATCAACTGCAGCGACCCTAGATCATAGCACTGTCCCACAGGCTTGTACAATAAGCACTAGGCATGATGGGTGCATCCTCAAAGACAATGGGTCCCCACTATCCTTCCAGTTTTTATTAATGCGTTAAACAGTTCTTAACCCAATTTTGGTAGTTTTGGAAATCTCCTTAGATGTTCTTTTTTTGTTTGATGCCAATGATCTGACCYTTCTCAAACATCACGGGATGTCTTTTGACATGTTTTTTTTAAGTAATGAGAAGCAACTCATTGCACCAGTTGAGGATAAATGACTTGTTGCCAGCTGAAAGATAACTGTCCATGCAGTAATCAACCAATAGGGGGCTCGTACCTATTTGCTTAGTTAAATCCATGTGGCAACTTTTTTGCGGGGTCAGGTAGTGTATATAATAAGTACAAACTTGGTATTTATGGGATTTGTACTTGGTACATATTAGGTACATATCTGGTACTTGCAGAGTATGTGGCAAGTACTTATTTTGGTACTTACCTTGGCACTTGCAGGGTATGTGCCTGGTATGTATCTTGGTACTTATCTTGGTATTTGTAGGGTGT